CAAGACTTAAGGAATCTCTGGATGAAGGTGACAAGATTACAAAAGCCATTGTACAGTTCAATGTTAATAAAACTAAGATTCTGTCAACAGGAAATTCCAGCCCAATGCAAATTGGCAAGAAACAGTAACGGTCCTTGTTTTCCTAGGCTCAGAAATTTCACAATGATTTTGACTGCAGCCATGAAATAAAGAGACATCTGAAAAAGATTGTGGGGAAAACAGTTTATGTCAGATTAAAGTGAAAAGACATCACCTTAACAATAAAGGAACATATTGTTAAGTCACTGTGGATATGACTTAAAAAGTTAATAAGCTGAATAACTGAAACAAGAAAATGATGTCTTGCAGCACTGGAGAAAACTATGGGGAATGCTTGGACAGCAAGAAAAACAAATAATTATAAGTAAATGGTTTGCTGCAAGCATTAATGATGTAACTATACATGAAATATTTTGGACAAATAATTTAAAGGAAAGAGTCCTGTAGAAGAAAGATTCTGATGGTTTGGAGAACTGAAGACAATCGAAAAAGACATCGTTAGAAAGGTAAGTATCATGGTGAGTTTACCAGCAACTGAATGACAGAAAGATAACAACACTATTACAGTAGGTCATCATTTGTTCTGATTCATGTACTTCCAGAGAAAGAGATGCTTTTTAAAAAAAGATTCAATTGAAGCTACATCTTTAGTCTGAATTCAGAGCACATTCCAGATGAGTGCCCATAGTTGTTTTTTTCTCCTCAAGATATAAAACAATCAATTGGAAAGCACGTTTTGGAATCACATTGCTAACTTAAAATGCAGTTTAGCTTTCACATAGCACAATCTAGTCTTCAAGTAAAAGACAGTATTGTGTCAGGTCAGCCAACCTGATGCAGCTGGAACATACGTCAAATTGTTAGTGATAAACTGCAGACCTATATTATTATACTTGGATCAGCACCAACCATTGTGCAAAATAATTGAGCTGATCAATCAACCTGGATTTCATTACAGCATTTATCAACACCTGTGCAATACAAACTTTGCACACCTTCTACGAAGGGGAATTCAAAAGTAAAGAAATCTATGGAATGTTTCTGCTGATGGTAGTTGATGATTCCTGTCACAGGCCCCAGAATATCTCAAAATCTGTTTCTAAAATCACCAAGCTTTTAGTGTAGCTTCTAACGATGCACAGGGGAGGGAAGAAAATGCCTCATCACATGGGTCTAAGTCCCTGGGCGCAATATTGGATTTTACAACTGAATTTCAATACTGTGTACAAAGTAGTAAATACAGCATTGATTTTAACGGTTAAAAGGACTGGTCTTATAGTAAGGCCTGAGGCAAGGTACATATGAATAAGATTGATATACTGAGTCATACTTTTATAAAATGCTCACGTGTAAGAACAGTTTTTAATATAAACAGCTGGTTATAAATGTACCCACCCTTTCATCAAACACAATAGTTAACACATGTAGTTTGAACTGTCTTTTGGCAACAAACCTGTGAACTATCAGCTATTTCTTCAAAAATAAAGAACTACAATATTCCTCAGTCTTTAACTATTTCATTTTAAAATATGTATATCCTGCATCTGGCTGAAATAGAAATAGCCTTTGACTTATAACCATTTGTTTAGCAACTAATCAACTTTACAATAGCATTGAAAAAAGTAATTTACAAAGGAGTCCTATCCCTTACACCCTGTGCAGTATCACCAATATCACATGATTAAAATGTGGCTGATTGCAACTGGCCTGTATTTATGACAGTTGCAGCAACCCAGAGTTATGTCATCACAATTTGCAACCTTTCCAGCTGGCTTTCAACAAACAGAATCAATGAGGGAAATCAAATTTGCTTAACAATCAACTGATTCTTTCATTGGAGTGATTTGCTTAACAACCATGGCAATAAAGGTCATAAAATCAGGTTATACTCACTTAACAACTACTTTGCTTAGTAACCAAAATTCTGATCCCAATTGTGGTCGTAAGGTGAGGACTGCCTGAATTCACAATGTGGTTTAAACAGAAGTTAAACTGACTGACATTTTCACTCATCTCTCAGTAATGAGCAAAATGAGCAAGAGTTACTGAAATCTCATTGGTACCAGTGAGGTACTGAGCAGGCTTTAGGCATTTTAGTTAAATACCGTGTTTCTCTGAAAATAAGACCTAACCAGAAAAGAAACCCTAGCCTGGTTTTTTAGCGTGCTAATATAAGCCCCACCCCAAAATAAGCCCCAGTTAAGGTCGTCATTAGCCAGGATGTGTGTGTGTGTGTGTGTGTGTGTGTGTGTGTGTGTGTGTGTGTAGGCCTGGCCAGCACTGGAGACAGTGGGGGCTGACTGTGTCCAGCAGCAGCCACAGCCTGTGCAGCACAGGTGAGTTGATTACCTGTCCAGAGGCAGAGGTGCGGGGGGCGAGGCAGGTGATCTGGACGCACCGCATGAGTCACAGGCAAGCCGAGAAACGTTGGGAGTGGGCAGGTGGCCGTGGGAGGCTCATCTTCACATCTCTTGGCTTGCCTGCAGCCTGCGTGGCGCATCCGGATGCCTGCCTTCCCTCCTGCACCTTTGCCTCCGTCTGCTGCCAGTGCCGCTATGTGAAGACGAGCCCCCTCAGCCACCCGCCCACTCTGGCCCTCCGACTCTTGGCTTTTCCGCGGCCCAGGCAACACTTCTGGATCATCTGCCTTCCCCCCAGTGCCTCTGCCTTCGTCTGCTGCTTCGTTAGGTAATCAATTTACCTGAGCTGCACAGGCTGCACAACTCTAGAGTATGCCAATCAAGGGGCTGGTGGGCTGCAGCTGCTGCCGGATACTATTAACTCCTGCAAGCTCGCCATCTCTTGTGCACACACTGGGGGGATGGGGTGCTCAGCCGGGCTGATCACCCTGTTATTGTGTTTCTCCAAATATAAGCCCTAATGCTTATTTTGGAGCCGCCCAAAATATAAGACTGAGTCTTATTTTCAGGGAAACCCAGTAGGTAGGATGCTAACACCTTCCATCTTTTTTTTTTTACATAATCAAGGCAAGACCAGAGTAAATAGACTCCTATTCAAAAAATATACTGCCAAGCAATACTTGTGTCACCGTTCTTCAGAACAGTCCAGATCAACATATTAAGATTGAAGCGCAGATTCTGTTCATAAATGGATTATATATTCTTGATTCTAAGTGCTTAAGCAGCCTAAAAGGTCTCATTTGATCCCAATATATTCATACACTTGGCAAATGCTACTGAGGAATGTGAGATGAGAGTTCCCAAAGAGATCCAATTTTTATAGGACATCTTCTAATGTATTGTTTTTATCATGGAAGCAAAGAAGTCAGGGAAGATATGATTCTGCCCATCAATCTCCCCATTCCATTAGTCTGTTAGAAGACCCACTAATTTCATTCTGCAGAATGCTCTCTAGATGAATTCAGTGGGACTGAAATAAGACATAGACAAATGCACCATTATTTTCACAATCAAGATTTCCAAATCCTCTCCAGCTCACCCTCTTTCCTCTAGATTGCTGTAGATCAAAATCAATATTTTCTACCCATAACAGGCTGCAGACGACAAAATGCACAAAGAACTCCATTGAAATACATTAAAAAGATGCAGGAGTCACTGGCTGGGTTTATACCTCATTGTAAGCCAAAACAAACAGTATTATTGCTTACAGCAATCTAAACCAATTTCTTCACATTGGTCACACCTTCACTATCTCCAGGTGAAGATCTATTAAGGCAGGAGAACAAAGGCAAACAGAACTCTTTCCAAAACTCACCCCATAGAGAGAAAATGTTCCATTTTTAGGAACATTTGCTTTTGCTTGCAGAGTTTGAGTTTCTCTGGCTTTGTAGGGCTCTATCCAATTTCTATTAGGATGGCCAGTGAGATTCCTTAACACACACACACACACACACACACACGATTTACATTCAAGTAAATCCAGATATTTTACAAAGAATTCAGGTAACAAAATGACTCAGGTTTAAACATTAAATTTTAAAATTCAAAGACCTAGAAACCTAGACAGGGATAAAACTCAGAAATGGGTTTAAAACTCCAGCACTTAGCAACTCTGGCTTCTAAGGTTGAAGGATTCAGCTGTTTCAAATCTGTTCATCTAAATAGAAATAGAATAACAGAGTTGGAAGGGACCTTGGAGGTCTTCTAGTCCAACCCCCTGCCCAGGCAGGAAACCCTACACCACTTCAGACAAATGGTTATCCAACATCTTCTTAAAAATTTCCAGTGTTGGAGCATTTCACAACTTCTGGAGGCAAGTGGTTCCACTGATTAATTGTTCTAACTGGCAGGAAATTTCTCCTTAGTTCTAGGTTGCTTCTCTCCTTGATGAGTTTCCATCCATTGCTTCTTGTCCTGCCCTCAGGTACTTTGGAGAATAGTTTGACTCTTTGTGGAGGAATGAAGATCCCTCCTTCATTGTCTTTCACACTCCCTACTCCGTAGACAACTATGAAGAGGCTCATGTAACACCAACAAGTAAACATTTGTAAAAACAAGTCACGCTATGGATCAGGAGCTGAGCTACTCCTAAGAATACTCAGGCTGAACTGCATTTGGCTGAACAGAAACTTCTTAGCTGACTTTGGACCAATCTCTTCTCTCTCAAGTTTTGTCTGGAAGGTGATATATGTGGGGGGTTGGACTAGAAGACCTCTCAAGTCCCCTCCAACACTGAACTTCAGATCGTATCGTATCATAAGCAGACATTGAAGAGATCCAGCTTTTTGTATCATTCATACCGGTTTAAATTTCCACCTGCCTCGCAACTTTCCAAAGCAAAGGAGGCGAGGGAGGGAGGGAGGGAAGAAAGAAAAGGGACGTAGCAACTGCAGGATTAGTCGAAAGTTAGAAAGATGTTTCTTGCTCCGGGATTTAAAATCTCCACCATCCTTCCCAAAGCGATTGGAAACCATCCCGAAGGTGGGATGGGGTGGTGGTGATAGCGCTACAATAAAGTTTGTAAACTGCGCATGCTCTCACCTACAAACCGCGTTCCTTTGGCTTCTCGGCAGGACCTTCGTTACCCAATTCCGGCCTCAGCGGAGCCCGTTTGGCTCGTCTGCGCAAGCTCACATCTATTCTCCCCGGAGCTGCTTGGCGTGCCGCTCTTTTTAAGCCATGCTGGCGCGAAAGGGCCGGTTGCCATGGTGACGGGACGCGGAGTGGTGGCTCGAGCCGGTCTCGAGCCAAGCGGGGAAAGGGCGCGGAACTGCGGCCGCTCGCGGCCATGACTGGCATTCTGTGCGATTGGCTGAATCGGGAAGTGAAGCTCTCGCGGACAGTGGGTGAGTCCGAGGAAGCGGGGTGCCATTGCTTTGAGGCGCCAGGCGGGGGGGACTCCCCTGGTTCCCCGCAGGCTCCTCCAACAGGAGGGAGCATTCATATATATATGAAATATATATATATGAAATATATATAATATATATATATGAATATATAATATATATATAATTTATATTTTGCTGATAAAGGGAGACTAGTATAGATCTATTTCAACATGTTGGGGTAGACCAGGTGTCTCTATAGAAAAACACTTTATATATATGTGTCTGTGTGTGAATAAAATAAATATATGAATATATATATATATATATATATATCTTCCATCTCGTGTCAAAACAGATCGTGTCTTTTTTTCCCCTTGAAACCGAGCCCTGCTTTTTTTCCTTCAGGGACGGAAGAAAAGCACCCAAAGTGCATGGCATTTTAGATATGCTCAGAGGCACGTGCTGTTGTGGGGTTTTTGTGTGTGTGTGTTTTGCTTTTGCCACAGAATTGGAAAACGGGTGCCTGAGTGGACCCTTCTGCCTGCCTTTTTATCTGCTGCAAGGGAAGATTTTTTTTTTTAAATGGAAAATAATAAATAATAATAAAATTAATTCAAAAATAATAAATAATATTTATTATTTTCTCCTTTCTCCTCACCTTTGAGGAGAAAGCCCTGCGCGTTCCATTTACTGCAGCTTCAGGGCTTTCTGTGGTATGTTGAGAGCTGTATATCAAAAGCGAGTGGGTTGAGGACTCCCTCAGGAAAGGGTGAAGATGCTGCTAATGTCACCCATTTGGCCTAAATTCTACAAGTCTTACTTAAGGTAACCGTTTTGGTCCTGCCCACTTTGAGGGATGGGGAAGAATCTGGATACCCATAGAAGAATTGCTGAGAAACCATGATTTTCACACTTCTGACTTAAGGAAACAAATCTCTACCAGAGTTTAGACACAGAGATTCTTACCCTGTTTCCCCGAAAATAAGACATTCCCTGATAATAAGCCCAATCGGGCTTTTGAGTGCATGCGCTAAAATAAGCCCGCCCCCGAAAATATTTAAACGCAGAGCTGGAAATCAGGTAAGACCAAAAGAGGAGCCCCATCTTGCTCCATGCGCCCCAAAATAATAAGACATCCCCGATAATAAGGCCAAGCGTGCGGTTCAAAAAAAATATAAGACAGGGTCTTACTTTCGGGGAAACACAGGGTACATGAAAAGCCTTTGGAAGATGTTCCTTCTCAGCAATCCATTTACATAACTGAAATTCCTATAAGGAAAACAAAGGAAGGATTTTCATCACCCAGGATGCTTTTGCAAATTCAAGGGATGCACTTCTGGCTAGGTTCTCTCAATTAAAAAGGACTCCAGAGGGCAAGCAGTCCTTGTAGGGATCTGTTTATTCCATAGTTCCTAATGTTTTAGCTACAAAATGCTTTCCCTCCAGAGCAGAGTTCCACCCACACTGGAGATGAAATCCTCCTGAGGTGAAGCAGAAGATCCAATGTTCTATTCACTTTAGTTCACAGGGCAGTGATTTTATGTTTTGTTTTGGGAAAGGTCCTTTTTTTACTGGTGTTAGGCTCACTTCAGGCTTATATTACAATTTTGCTTTTATTTCTTTGTTCAAACCTTCAAGATGATGTACCACTGATTTTTAGTATTTGTGTTACTTACAATCAGATTTTACTCCTAAAATGGAAAATTAGGATTAGAAATTAAGTGATGCCCCGGATAACATATTATTGTTTGTAAACTGCCCATAGTTACTTAGGTTTGATGGGCAGGGTAGAAATTTAATAAATAAATAAATAAAAATTTTAGGGCCAATTCATGTGGGTAAGGGAGTGAGATGGCAATTGTTTCCTTGGTGATTCTTCCTAGCCAATATTTATTATTTTGAGTACTACCTGATATTCTATCCATAGGCGCTTAGAGAGCCAACTGTAACTTTTGCTGATCAAACTGTGACCAAAGTAGCCAAACCACAAAATATCAGATTTCAGATTTACAAGATTCTGTTACTGCAGCTTTACAATATAGTAGAATTAACTCATTTGGTCATGTTTCCTGTCTAGTCAACAGGGGAAGGCTGACATCCCCACATTCTAAACACTACACATTTTTACTTTATATTATATTAATTTTTTATTATTTGTTTGTATTATCTTAATGTTATTTGAATAATTAATACTTATTTAAAATTTTAATACAAAATGTCATAAAACATTTCCTGGTCTGATTTATGACTGTGCTGTACATTTCAGCATGGGCTATTTCAAGGTTGATTCATCTGTTAATGTATCTCAACTTTTCCAGTGAAAGTAGTACATTAAAAATTCTGTCGTTGAAAATATCTCTGATCCTACTAGTCATAGGTTGCTATATATTATTAAAACTCTTTATTTAGTTGTTGAAAAAGTGTTGGTGAGATAAATTATGCAATTTATCTCATGCTAGAGAATGCATACTTAACTTCTTCACTTATCTATTTCCATAAATCTATTGGAAGATTCAAAGAAGACTGATTCCATGTTAGCATGGTGACAAGCAAACCAATGTTTATTGATGAACTATTTATTTGTTTGTTTGTTTGTTTGTTTGATGTATATAGTTGCCCATATGCCTGGGAATTCTGGGCAGCGAACAGAAATAAAAAAAATAAATCAAGCCCATTAAAGATAAGTCAGGTTGTTATACTGTACATCATGATAATAATGGATGATTATGCATCAAATGCATAATGCAAATGCAAAGAGTTGCAACTTGTAAACAAACTACTTTCCTTTTTCCTTTGGAAATTAAATCAGATATAGAATCTTTCGCCAGAGAATTTTCTTCTGGTTATCTCATTGGAGAACTTCTAAACAAGTATGAACTTCAGGAAGATTTTGCTCAGTTTTCACAAAGCAGGTAGGTAGTATTAATACTGTTCTAACAATGTTCCGATTTACTCAATACCATATCATAATAAAACTACAGTAGGTTCAATTAACATTTCCTTGTATTGGAGAACAGGGTGGGAATTTGGGCAATTCCCCTTCCCACTTTTTATGTAGAATCTTTCCTTCATTCCCATGTTTGCCATTGCCCAGTCAGTTTCCCACTGAAACAGAAAAGGATTGTGTGGTCTCCTGCCCGGCTTTTCTGAACTACAATAACCACCCATAGCCAGAATGACCAATAGTTGTTAAAAGTTACAAAAAGAACACCTTGTTTATACTCATGTCCCCAGAATTATCACAGAGATGGCTATGATCTGTAAGGAACCAGCAAAGCAGAAATGTGCATTTTTCTCCATATAATTGCTTCTGCTTTGAAAGAAAACACTTTCTTGAACTGTCTCTAGGTCTTTGCCTTTGCTTTGAAAGACTGACTTTACAAGCCATTTTTGGTGAGAGTGATGCAGGACAGATAAATTCTACATTGGCAATTTTGGATAGCGTGGCAGGGCTCAAAGCTTTCTGGAAGCCAATAAATTCCCCACCCCTACTCCAACATATCTCCACCAGTATATAAAGGGAGAATACCAAAAGAGTAGAGTTTGGTACTCTTTGTATTCTTGCCATTGCTTGGTTGGAGACATCAAGTGAACAAACAGTCCCAGTAAGAAGGACAGCATGAAGATTAAGGAGTGGTTGGATTCAGTTATGAAATTCAGGAGGTGCGTGACAATGCTAATTTTACATGTCAAGCCCAATAGCAAGACAATGACTTGCATTTCACAATTTGCAGATTTTGAAGGTACTGATTTTCCTGTCATACTAAGTGATAGATTAACAAGAGGTTCACTTGTGTCACCAGATAACTAGTCACAGTAGCCAATTTCAGAAACAGCATGACTGCTTATGTCACCTCAGATGCAGTGGCAAGATTCTGTTCTGTTTTTTAGATTCCTATATGGATTAGCTTGGAGATATGGAACAGTGGTCTTGATGGGCCACGGACTTGTTGATCAAGTTCATGGTGTGGAAATAAATTATTGTATGGTATAATGATAAAATCTCCTTTGAGCTGAAAACCAGGCATGTTTATGAGTTCTGACTTTGCTTAGTTCCATTGCTGCCATACCACACATGAGGCTTACTGAAGCGTATTAGGCTTGCAGATGAATTCACAAGAAAGTTTTAATATTCTACATATTTAGAATTTTTTATATTGTCTCAACAGGCTTGCCAATGCAAAACTTAACAACTTTTCTCGCATGGAGCCCACCCTTCAACTTCTGGGTGTACAGTTTGACCAAAATGTAGCCCGAAACATCATGACAGAGCAGCATGGAGCTGCTATCAAACTTGTGTACCAATTGTATGTGGCCCTAGAGAAAAAGAAAAAAGCAGGGCTCACTGGAGTTGCCATGGATGCAATGCGACCTTCGGCTAATGCAAAGCTTAAAAGTGTAGGAACCGAAATATATCGTGAGGTGAGCTTGTTTCTGTTAGGACACTTTTGGTATCGGTGAATTTCTGTCAACAAAGCATTGGCTTCCTATTTACTCCTTTTGGGAGTGAGTGAGGATCAAGAGCTGAGTGGCGTAGGAGGCTAATGCCTCCTAAGGCAGCATTTAACATCCAGCTGCCTGCAATTACTGCGAGTTCAATTCTCACCAGGCTCAAGGTCGACTCAGCCTTCCATCCTTTCTAAGATGGGTAAATTGAGGACCCAGTTTGTGGGGGCAATAAGCTGACTTTGTATAAATATACAAAAGTATGAAGGCTATTGCTTAATGCATTGTAAGACGCCCTGAGTGTCCGGAGAAGGGCGGCATATAAATCAATTTTTTTAAAAAAATGAATATACAGTACAAGGACAAAAATTCCTGTTTAGGCCACTTCATCCGTATGCCTAGAGTGCATTGTTTCAATTATTAATAATAGTGTTTATATTGGATTCCACTCCTGAAAGCCTCTTATACATATTATATTATTATTATAGTTCAACATGCTATCAACCAGATGTTCGTATTGGATTTGGCATTTTTAATCTACCTATCGAGTCGTCCCAGGGACCTGGCATAGGCAGATACTGTTGTTCTATGGTATTAAAGCTGCCTTTTGCAATTGACTGATAGTATCTAATTAGGGTGTCAAACTCAAGGCCCGGGGCTGGATCTGGCCCACAGGGTGCTTAGATCTGGCCAGTGAGGCTGCCCTGGAGACAGCGAAGGACCAGCCCGCAGTGCCTCTGCCAGTGAAAACAGAGCTTGGGAGGGCTGTGTGCAACTTTCCCAAGCTTCGTTTTCACTGGCAGAGGGTTACAGGAAGCCATCTCAGCCGAAAACGGAGCTTGCGAGGGCCACAGGTGACACTCCCCAGCTCCGTTTTTGCTAGCAGAGGATTGCAGAAGGCCACCACAGCCAAAACGGACTCCATTTTTGCTGACAGAGTGCTCGGGCCACCATAGGCACCATCCAACATATCGAGCTGGCCATGCCCACCCTGATTTCCCAAGGTCAAATACAACCCTGATGCAGCCCTCAATGAAATTGAGTTTGATACCTCTGATCAATGTTAGTGGTGTTCAAGTGATGCTTCAGTTGGAATTGCAGCTAAGGTGAAGGTAGAGAACAGGCCTAATACAGCAGGGGTCCCTATCCCCTGGTCAGTGGACCAGCATTGGGCAGCGGCATGCCAGAAACTGGTGCGCACAAACAAGCGAAGCCCCATCCGTGGAATGCAGGCAGCACACAAAACCATGTCCCCTCTGGTCTGCGGAAAAACCTCTCTCCATGAAACTGGTCCCAGTTGCCCAAAAGGTTGGAGGCCGCTGTAACACAGTATTCCTGCCTCCTGTTTTTTTCTCTACAACAAGTATATTAAGCAAGTTAGGCTGAGAGGGAGTGACTGGCCCAACATCATGAGCCACGGTGGCACAGTGGTTAGAGTGCAGTACTGCAGGCTACTTCTGCTGACTGCCGGCTGCCTGCAATTTGGCATTTCAAATCTCACCAGTCAAGGTTGACTCAGCCTTCCTTCCTTCCGAGGTGGATAAAATGAGAATTCAAATTGTTGGGGGCAATATGCTGACTCTGTAAACCGCTTAGAGAGGGCTGTAAAGCGGTATTTAAGGCTAAGTGCTATTGCTATTGCTATCACCCAATAGGCTTTAATACTTAGAAGGAATATTTGTTCTGGTCTGTTCATCTATACTTTAGATTTTAAATAAAAAATTAAAAGAAATATTTCCAGTTCTCATATTATTTTTATAGACAAGTTGCCATAGAGACCAGGGTGTTCTCATTAGGAGTGTCTTCTTAGTAAGTTAGCCCCTAACTCTTTTCAAAGGTGTATTGAGATTGCCTTTCACAAAGAGATTTTGTTAAACTTTGCTGCTGTCTTTCTTATTGGTTTGCATGGTCATTTAAGATGTTTTAAATGTTTTCACCTTCTTAAAAACTATGCTGCTACAAAGTTAAAAAAAAAACCCAACCCCTTAAAGAAACCTAAGTGATTACTTTTTAAAAAATCTTGGATTAATTTCTACCAAGTCGCAGAAGATAAACACCTCTAATAATTTGCAACAATACTCTGGGTCCATTTTATTGTACATATGAAGAATAGGAGCACACAGAAGGCTTTCCACTGGACCAAACAAGTTCCACAGTGTTGATTCATATGGGAATTCATAGTACCACTGGCTTAAACCTCTGGGAATTTCTCAAAGTTGTTTCCCGTCATACTAGTTCACTGGAGAAAACTGATACTTTAATTACAATCTAATTCTTTGATTTATCTTCTCCCAATAGGTATTTCATAGATCTTTACACTTCCAGTCTTGAAACAATGAGCTGTTGTCTGAGGGCTTGTATTTCCTATCTTGTAAAGTTGAAGCTAGGCTATAGGCCCAGAAAAGTAAATAAAGTGATCAGTGCTATACATTTTTCAGAATATATGTTCCCTCACATTATTGCTCCCTCTAAGCAGGTTGTACCCTCACCATCAGGGCAAAAATCTATTAAGTTTATAGGTAGTCCTCAATTTATGACCACAGTTGAGCCCAAAATTTTCATTATTAAGCAAGACAGTTGTTGAGTTTTGCCCCATTTTACAACCTTTATTGCCACAATTTTTAAGTGAATCACTACAGTTATTAAGTTAGTAACATGGTTGTTAAGTGAATCTGGCTTCGCATTGACTTTGCTTCTGAGAAGGCCACAAAAGGTGATCACATGATCCCGGGACACTTGACAAATACATGCCAATTGCCAAGTGTCCGAATTTTGATCATGTGACCATGGGGATGCAGCAACAGTTGTGTGAAAAAAGGTCATAAGTCATTTTTTTCTGTCCATTGTAACTTTGAATGGTCACTAAACAAATGGTTATAACTCGAGGACTGCCTGTACTGCATCTTTCAGACCATGTTTTTCACATGTAAGCCCTTTCTCTCTCTCTCTCTCTCTCTCTTTTGCTGTATTATATTTTGCTTGAGCTAATCTGGGCTCTTAAACAAGCAATTATTTTAAAAAATTATCATAATCCAATTGAAGGTTTTTTGAGTATTAGTATTTATCTCTATTTGGAGATGTTGGACAGTATTTAGCATTGAATGCTCTATTTTTATTTTTTTCTCTTCCTAATCACAAGAATCTGAGAACTTAATAAAAGTTCTCAGATTCTTGTGATTAGGAAGAGAAAAAAATAAAAATAGAGCATTCAATGCTAAATACTGTCCAACATCTCCAAATAGAGATAAAAGAACTCTGATTTACAATAATCCTTGACTACATTGATAGTCAATGTAGACTTTTCCAATCTGATACCCCATCGACACATTCACTGCAACTCCAAGAACCTTCCTGATGTATCGGTTACAACTCCCTGGATTCACCATCTGCATGATTAATGATACTGGTGAGAATAATAGGAACCATACTCCAACACGTCTAGAAGCTACCAGATGAAGGAAGGCTCATACAATTAATGTGGTTGTGACAGTCCTTCAGATGAGGCACTTTGCAGCACAGAAAAGCTGTTTGCCCTACTTATATTAAATCAAGCACAGCATTTTCTAGGCCTCACTGCTTAGGAAACAGCTCCTGGTAGTGCTTGTAGGGCCACTTTGCTTCACTAAAGAGCAATATGAAGAGGTGCTTCACAAGCAACGAGGCCTTGCTTGTGAAAAAAGGAACTTCCCTGTGCATGTCTCAATCCCTGGTCTCATCCAGTAAAATTTATCTTTGGAAAAATAAGTTTCTCTAGAATGGATTAAATCCACCAATCCAGGACAAACAAGGTTCTCATGCTTCTTCCTGTGTCATATATATGTTTGTATGTATATATCTGTTGCATTTTATTTCAGAGACTCAAAACACTAGTACCCCGCCAAGCAGACCTCTCACTCCAACAAATTTCAGACAGCTTTCAAAACAAAGCCAAGATCTTGGAAAGTAAGGTAGCTGACATGCACTTTGTGAAGCAACAGCAAGCCAAACAGATCCAGGAGGAAAAAAAGGCTGAAGAACTTGAAAGGGTGAGTGCTGATTTCTTTCTCTGACTCAGCTACACAATATCTTTATTCCTTGCTTTGTAATTAATCTGAGGCCAGGTGTATTAGTAAATTGGTCTTTACAGTTTAACTTCCATTACTCTTATGCCCTTCCAGACATGGCAGAACAACATGTCTCAGAATTCTTTAAAAAATTGCCTGGCTGATTGGACTTTCTAAGACTTGCAGCTTTTATGCATCTGAAGGACCTAACATGGGGAGTGGGTGGGGATGGTGTATAGATAGACTTCAGAAAAAAGGTAGTTAAGATTGTATTGTCTATTGTCAATCACGGTTGTCCCAAAAGTGCTTTGCCAAAAGGCAACTGGACTTTCTTTGTTTTTGCTTGAAGACTTGCTTCTCAGCCAAGAATCTTCTGAATCAGTTCTGAACTTAAAAAGCTTCTTTGAATGAAAAGCAAAACATCTTCAAGCAAAAACAAAGAAAGTCCAGTTGCCTTTTGAAAAAGCACCTTGGGGTTAAGATTGTATTCTATGCCATTAAAAGCAGAGGAAATTGTATTATCTACCAGAGGATATGGGACGTTACACAAAGTACAATCAGAAATAGTTACATAAAACACTTGATTATTTTGAGTTAGCATGCACATAGATTTATGCATCAAGAGATACCCCAGATACACTTTAAACTATCACTGGTTATGGGAGGAACTGGATGTCTTCACATATAACAGCTATCCACATGAGTGACTGTGATCAGAGCCTCCCTGTCCAGGAAGAGAGACAATATGAACCAATATGAATGCACAATATGAAGCTGTGCAAAGGCATCCCAGACATGACTGTCTCTTGCTCTTTGAGCAGGAGTTGGGTGTCTGGGAAGACCCACAAATTATGCGCTGGGTATAACCCTGTGTAGCACCAAAAATGGCATAGTCTCTAAAACCCAGAGCCACTCAATCTTGCCAAGGTTCAGCTAAAACCTGTCATTCCTTGTCTGGGTCCCATAGGCTCCAGGTACTGGGATAGGATATCAGCAGTATCATTTAAGATGTCAGAGGTGGAAAGGCCTAATTGGGTATCATCAATACACCCCATGGCAATGAACAATCTTACCCAGCAGTTTCATGTTGATGTTGAATAGGAGGGGAAAGAGCACTGAACCTGGTGGAATCCCATAGAGTTTTTATGTGATAAAAGGATAATATTTTAAATTATTAAATATGTGAAAGAGTCATATTAAAATTGGCCTTAAAATTATATAGCCCTATTGTACAGTTCTATTTCTGTACCCACATATCCATAGCTTCATCTTCATAGTAATAATACAGATAAAATAATAATCCCCCCCACCAGCCTTATTAGATGATTATGAATGAATGATACTTATTCATCTGAGTGAATCTGAGTGTTAAAACCACTTTCCTGGACAAAACTCAGAACATCCAGAAGTGCATCAGTAAGATGGCACCCAAAGATAAGCTACTGAGAGAATGTCTGAGGCAGCAGCAGATATGGAAGGAAGATCAAGCAGTGGAAGTACCATGACAAGATAAGACTAAATAAGATGTACATTGATAGCTGAGGTAGTAGACATTAGAAAATCCTACCAGTGACTACAAAGAGCAGGACAAAAAGACAGCACTATGGCACTGATCACAGCAGCACAAGAACAGGCACTAAGCGCCAGATCTGGAGTGGTCTATCACCCTAGACAGGATCTATGCAGAAAGGCTTCAAAAACAGTCCAACATAGTGGCAGGGTACAGACAGGAACAGCATACCCTGAATGGAACAACTAAGTAGCTGGCATTGTGTACAGGAACATCGGCATAGTATTTGGGCTAGACCCCGCAAGTCCAGATGGGAGATCCCACAGAGGGTACTGGAGAACAACAGGAGGGCTGAGATCCTGTGGTATATTTAGAGATCCAGCAGACAGCAGGTACTGTCCAGTCAATCAGACATCGTGGTAGTAGAAATGGACCAGAAGACAATAGTGGTGATAGATGTAGCAGTGCCAAGTGACAGCAACATCGGGAAGAAGGAGTAGGAGAAGCTAGAGAAATACCAGGACCAACGGAAGAATTAGAGATAATGTGGGAAGTAAAAGCCAAAGTGGTCCCAGTAGTGATAGGAGCATTCAGGACTGTGACTCCTAAGTTGGGAGAGTGGCTCCAACAGATCCCAGGATCAATGTCTCTATCCAGAAGAGTGCAGTGCTGGGAATAACTAGGACTGCACAGAACTCTCAAATTCCCAGTTCTCTGGGAGAGGACCCAAAATTGAGGAAGATGCATATCACTATAGGAGTGAGAAAGGATTTTTAAAAACGCTTCTATGTGATTAAGTTTTATTCAGTAACCAATTTAAAACAACTTACTATCTTTCCCTTTGAATATTTAGAAAATTGCAGAAAAACGCAGGCAGAATGAAATCATGGCCAAGATTCAAGCAGCAGTTATCCAGATTCCAAAACCATTTCCACAGCATACGGACAAAGTGATTGAAGACCAAAAATTGCAGAAGAAGAAGAAGGAAGCAGAAGTAAGTTATGAGGTTTTATAGTCATTTAAAGAATGCACAAGCAGCAGCATGTACTACATATTTTGATTACCTTGTATCTTAATGTAAATGCATTCATTTCTAAACACAAGTATTTCATTGTGCAACATTATACTTTGTTAATAATATTGGTGTCTGATTAACTGCTGCAAAAAGTAGCATCTGCAGAGGGAGTTAAAACAGGAATGATGGCAGTTTTGTATGTGCTGACATTGTACACATGTATAAAAGGGCAGGGCTTCCATTGTGTTGTCACAAATGCTGTTTTTCCTGTTTTGAAGGCCTCTCGCTTCAGATACCATCATATACATGGAAAAGAATCTTCAAAACAATGCTGTTAACATTGAAATAGATAACCAGAGATTCTTCCTGAGAATCAAATTAAAACACCTTCCATCAGTTCTTACGTCAATGGAAGAATATACTGGTATATAATTTGTTCTGCTCAATGGACTTCCTTATCATGCCAAAAGCATGATGCTAGGAACAGGTGCTATCGTTATTTATGATGTTCAGGGTACATTAAAAACAAGACTGGATAGTTTGCCCCAGCTTTGTTTCCTTCTCCTCCCCTAAATGCCACCTGCCAGCAAAAATTCATCCAGCAATTTCTCTCCTTGATGTGAGAAGGCAATGGGACCAGGGAAGAGTCAAGATCATCTGGTTCTAGGGTTAGGCTCAGAGATCTGGCAGCTACAGGGGATTAGCTGATCTGAAAGAACCTGATTTTCCCACTGCCAAAGAAGATTGGCCTCAGATTACAGTATTCAGGAGTTCAAGTGAAAAGAGAGTGCCCTTGCCTGCTAAAATAACAACAAGGAATTGAGTTAATCTCACTCCCTGCAAATCATCTCATTGCAACCCCGCAGACTGATCTATTAAGTCTCTTAGATTACACCCACATAAAACTGCTAGAGTTTGTTCAGTATTTAATGGGAAAATAATATTTTAACAGTGAACAAATAAGGACACTTTACAATGGCTCATGTATAGGTGGGAATGAGATAAAACATCACCATAAGGATTTTGTACTGCAATTAGGTGCAAATGGGGGGGGGGGATGCTGTAGAAGCTATATTTAACTGGAATTCAAATCATTAGACTCAGAGTTGGAAATTCACTCCTTTTTCTTTTTCTTCATAATAAATATCCAGAGAAAGAAACATTCATAACCCATACATATCCCTTCAGTTAGATAGGAGTAAATATAAATCTAGAGAAAGGTATTTTTTTCAGAATTTAGCTGAGCAATCCTTATTTAGAATCACTTTAAAGAAACATAGTGATTGCTATGGTGGGGGGCCCGGGGTCAAGAGGGGGGATAAAGTTCATCCAGATAAGGTTTTTACCATCAGTACCGTGGGTGGGAGGGGTAGATATGGCGGGAGCAGGGGGCCATATCATGTTAGGGGAGCGCGCGCCCGCTGTCTTCAAGCGGTGGCGCGCTCCGGCCCCCAAAGCTCCACTCGTTTTCCAGGTGGCGCAGATCCTCAGGGCCCTGGCCTCCGTCTGATGTTATGCAATGCCAGGTCTGTAGTAAATAAAGCCCCCCTCATTTGTGATCTTGTTCAGGAGGGGGGAGCGGACCTGGCAGGTATTACGGAAACCTGGTTGGGCCAAGAGGGGGGGGTCCCTCTTGTTGAAATGTGCCCACCAGGTTTCCGCGCATTCCATCAGCCGAGGTTGCAGGGTAGGGGCGGGGGGGTAGCGGTTATTATTAACGAAGGTCTGAGACCGAGGGAGGCCACTGTTCCTCAGACGGCCAGCTGTGAATCCCTCCTTGTGAAATGGGGCCACGGGGTTCAGATGGGTTTGCTGATCACATACCTGGCTCCCTGCCATGTGGCAGCAGCCCTGCCCGAGCTACTCAGTGTCATCGCCACGGTGGTGGTTGAGACCCCTAGGCTTATGGTCATGGGGGATTTCAACTTGCCGTCCGTTGGTGAGGCATCTGAGGTGGCTCGGGAGTTCATGGCTTCCATGACAGCCATGGACCTGACCCAGTTAATTCATGGCCCTACCCACACGGGGGGAAACACGCTGGATCTGGTTTTTGTCTCTGGACAGTGGTTGAGTGATCTCGAGATAGGGGATATAGTCACCGAGCCCTTGTCATGGTCTGATCACTCTCTCCTTTGTCTCGACCTTCGAACCGCTACACCCCGCCGCAGGGACGCGGAGCCGGTAAGATGGTTCCGCCCCAGGCACCTGATGGAACCGGATAGGTTCCAGATGGAGCTTGGGCCATTCCCTGAGGCTCTGGCACACGCCTCGACTGGAGACCTAGTGGCCGCCTGGGATAGGGCGGCCGCTGGAGCTCTGGATCGGGTCGTGCCTTTGCGGCCTCTGACCCGGCGCCGATCTCATTTAGCTCCTTGGTTCACTGAGGAGCTGAGGGAGTTGAAGCGCCGGAAAAGACGCCTAGAGAGTAGTTGGAGGGCCAGTCTTTCTGAATCTGACCGGACACTGCTAAGAGCTCATATTAGGAATTACCTAGTGGCGATAAAAGCAGCGAAATGTAGCTATTTTGCTGCTCTTATTGCGTCATCAGATAATCGCCCGGCCGCCCTGTTTAGGGTGACCCGCTCCCTGCTCCACCAGGAAGCGCGGGAGGACCCCTTGGAGGGTAGAGCCGAGGATTTTGTCCAATATCTGTATGACAAAATCGCTCAGATTCGGGAAGATCTGGACTCCGACTGGATAGTCTCAGGGGGAGGGACTGGGGCAGGTCTTGAGAATGTTATCTGGGATGAGTTTGATCCTGTGACCCCTGAGGACGTGGACAGGATTCTGGGTAGACTGAACGCGACCACTTGTTTATTGGACCCGTGTCCCTCCTGGTTAGTGCTGGCTTCTCGGGAGGTGACATGAGGCTGGTTCCAGGGGATTATAAATGCTTCGCTGGGTGAGGGTGTCTTTCCTGCCACCTTGAAAGAGGCGGTGGTGAGGCCTCTCCTCAAGAAGCCTTCCCTGGACCCGGCAATGTTGGTAAATTATCGTCCGGTCTCCAACCTTCGTTTTGTGGCAAAGGTTGTTGAGAGTGTGGTTGCGCAACAGCTTCCCCAGCACCTGGATGAAACGACGTATCTGGATCCGTTCCAGTCGGGCTTCAGGCCCGGGTACAGCACGGAAACGGCATTGGTCGCGTTGGTTGATGATCTCTGGAGGGCTCGGGACAGGGGGTGCTCCTCTGTCCTGGTCCTGTTAGATCTCTCAGCGGCTTTTGATACCATCGACCATGGTATCATGCTGCACCGGTTGGAAGAGTTAGGGGTGGGAGGCACCGTGTTGCGGTGGTTCTCCTCCTTTCTCTCTGACCGGTCGCAGTCCGTGTTGACAGGGGGACAGAGGCCGACCCCGAGGCCCCTCATATGTGGGGTGCCGCAAGGGTCGGTCCTCTCACCTCTCCTGTTCAACATTTATGTGAAGCCGCTGGGCGAGATCATCCATGGTTTCGGGGTGGAATACCATCAGTACGCTGATGACACCCAGCTGTACATCTCCACCCCGGATCACCCCAACGATGCCCTTGAAGTGATGTCCCGGTGCCTGGAGGCCGTACGGATCTGGATGGGGAGGAACAGGCTCAGGCTCAACCCATCCAAGACCGAGTGGCTGTGGTTTCCGACGTCCCGATATAGCCAGTTGACGCCATCACTGACTATTGGGGGCGAATCATTGGCCCCCACGGAGAGGGCTCGCAACTTGGGCGTCCTCCTGGATTCACGGCTGTCTTTAGAAGAGCACTTGACGGCTGTGACCGGGAGGATTTTTTATCAGGTCCGCCTGATTCGCCAGTTGCGTCCCTTTCTGGATCGGGACTCGTTACGCACGGTCACTCATGCCCTCGTCACCTCCCGCCTGGACTATTGTAATGCTCTCTACATGGGGCTCCCCTTGAGGAGCACCCGGAGGCTCCAACTGGCGCAGAGTGCAGCCGCGCGGGTGGTAATGGGAGCGACATGGCGCTCCCATGTAACACCTCTCCTGCGCGAGCTGCACTGGCTCCCGGTGGTCTTCCGGGTGCGCTTCAAGGTTTTGGTTACCACCTTTAAAGCGCTCCATGGCTTAGGGCCTGGTTATTTACGGGACCGCCTACTACCACCAATAGCCTCCCACCGGCCAGTACGCTCTCATAGAGAGGGACTCCTCCAGGTGCCGTCAGCCAAACAGTGTCGACTGGCGGCCCCTAGGGGGAGAGCCTTCTCTGTGGGGGCACCTACCATCTGGAATGAGCTCCCCCCGGAGATACGGAGGATCCCGGATCTGCGTTCCTTCCGCCGTGCTGTGAAGACCTTTTTATTCCATCAAGCGGGCTTGGCCTGATCTCTTCCCTTTTAAAAATATGTAAATTTTAATCTGTTTTTAAATTATTGGGGTATTTTAATTTGTCTGGGCCAAAAAGTTTAATTTGATTTTATCGGGTTTTTAAATTTTGTGTATTTATGTATTTTATTGTTGGCTGTTCACCGCCCTGAGTCCTTCGGGAGTAGGGCGGTATACAAATCAAATAAAACCTAAACCTAAAACCTAAACCTAAAAGTAATGGCTCCAGATATCTTATGGGTAAGTAATCAGCAGGCCACATAGACCCCTCACCGCTGTATTTATGGTCCTTAGAATCATAAAGGTTGAATTTTTCAGACTTTTTTGGGGAGTTGGATAGATTTTGAGGCAAAATATACCTTAAACCAGGGGTCAGCAACCTACGGCTCTGGAGCCGCATGTGACTCTTTCACCCCTCTGCTGCGATTCCCTGTCACTCAAAATATGCGTCACAACCGCCAATGTGCAACACCCGCCGGCACGCAATTTATTGAGCTTTTCAACCCCCGGTAGGCCAACCATGTATAAATCAAAAAAAGGAAAAGTTTCAGAAGAAAACAGAACGTTTGATTCAACTTCATATGCTAGTTTTGTGGCCAGTCAAGAAATAGTTAGGCACAGGAAGGGTTTTGTGGCTCCCGGTGTTTTCTTTCCTGTGGGAAACAGGTCCAAATGGCTCTTTGAGTGTTTAAGATTGCAGACCCCTGCCTTAAACCTTGCAGAGGCAGTCATTTTGTTGCTTAATACCACTTAATCCCAAACAACAAACGTATACTTCCAAAAATGTATCCCTGTTCAGCAATGTCACATTAATAATTTTGTCCCGTGAAGATCCTGGTTAGATCTAGACTGCACATAGACTGAAAAAGTTTTTTACAATTTACTTGTACTGCCATGTTAAAATCCAATGCAAACCTGCTATCTTTCCTTTCCTTTTCCATTTCCCTTTCCATTTCCTTCAGAAATGTTTTGAGGATAAAATGCACTGTTCCTAAGACAGCAGAACAAACATAGTCCTCTGATTTTTCAATGTAATATATATGACAGAACTCATATTATTTGGGTGAACATACCATCTTTTATTGTATTCACTTGTTTTAATGAGATATCATTGAGATAATGTATGGATATTCTTATCTGAAACTGTTGTGTTCCTGTTTGCCCTGCCGGCACTGCATTTGTTAGGGAAAAAAGCTGCTCTTGGAAGCAAAAATTTCAGCGTATGGAGTATAAAAGTGAGCATATAAAAATAGGTGGGGCTTCAATCATGCAACTGCAGCCACCATCTTGCTTTTTGTAATCTCCCCAATGGACACTCCTGGTGTGGGGAAAAAGTGGTAAAGATCTCAAGTTCTTGAATCTTTTCTGTTCAGGAACAAGAGTTGGGGGGATATTGTAAACTCTTAATAATTAAACATATTTCAGTTAACCATTGTTCATTGTTCCATTTGTTTATCTAGCTATTGTTTTATTTGCTTATTTCACTTGTTTCCTTAAATATGAATAGTAATTAATTGGTGCAATACAAATGAAACCGATGTATTTACATTTTCTTTGGTTCTCATCTAATCACTTAAAAGTTTGCAATACTGTCAGACTTATACAGCGCATGGATGACATAACTTAATGAAGCTCTGATGCACTTCACTAAGCTTACTGGCACAACCCCATATTTTTGTTTAGCAAACACCTTGAACAGTGGAAATCCCATGGCGCAGTGCACTTGTGCTTTGAACATCTTGTTAATTTGTAATGGGATGCAATAAGGAATTAAATAGAAGGAAATGAATTAAAATATGCTTACTTTTTTCTAGACCACATACACTGAAATTAGGAACTTCGAAAAACAAATGAGGAAAGAGGCTGTTGTACCTGCCAAACTCACAGAGAGGTAACGTTACTTCTAGTAAATTTTGCTCTCTTTTTCTGCTGGACTGTGTGGGAATAGAAACACCCTTCCTGTTCTGACCCAGCCTTAGTAGAAGCAAGAAACAGACTCCTTGTCAAGAAAAAAACCCTCTTTATTTACCTCTTGTGAGTTAATTGCATTCACCCACTGAAAAGTCCAGGCAATAGTCGTTCAAAGAGTTAACTGCAGTAACAGACCTTATCAATTCCTTGCAATAATTGTAAGGCTGTGAGCTCCCAGCGGAAAGGCTACAAATTAAGTTCTGGCAAGCAGTCTTTGTGGCACAAAACACAATGAGCCAAAATCTTCAGAACTACAAACTGTTGTCTCCTACATCAACCACTCCCCTTTCCTTCTATTTATTCCCAAACCAGGGAAAGGCCATTCAGCGTCCACGTGTGCTTTGCTTCCCGAGTCAACTTATTGTCCTCCGTTGTTCCCCTCTCCTAACTGCTTTACACATACGTGCATCTGGAACAGGCCCCAGCTGTTCTTCCTCCTCACTCATATCACCCTCCAAAGACAGTTGCTTCTCCGGTGGCTGGGAAATGTCAGACGGTCCTGGCTCTTTCTCTGCGTCCAACACGAAGCATCCATCAGAGCCTTCCCCAGACTCCAGAACTGGCCCAATTTCCTCCCCAACCTCCTCATTGTCTGAGTCTGCTGGCAGCTGGCAGACCACAACACTTACGTTTGCCAAACATCCTATTAATAAGCTTTTGTTTCAGTCACACAAGTGGTTAAATATACTGTATTTGTACTACTGTACTGACATAAAGCTGCTGGATAGATATGCATAATTTCATTTTTCACTGGGAATACTTTATATCTTTCCACGCAGTTGAAATGTCAGCATATACTTCATTCATCAGCTATTTTACTACCAATAACTTGGCCTCGTCCAGTCATCTCTAATGCAATATAAATCTTGTCCTTATTAGTATTATTTTGGCACAACAAAAGTTGGACAACAGTAGAAGAAGCCATAAATTGCTACTGGAGAAATGCTGATTGTCTCATGGGGGTGAAGAGTAAGGCATAACATTTCAGTTAACATTTTGGAGAGAACTGACTTCGATAACTAGATTATGGAAAATCTTAAATTACTCTGGGTCACTTAATACTACAAAATGCACAGGGAAGAAATGATGTTGAGGACATCGTTAGTAGTTTCATTCTTCTCCCATGACTCTACTTATACGTAATATGGCCTGACAGTTTTGTTTTTACAAATATGTTTATCCCAAAAGTAGAATTCATGAGATCACTGCCAAAATATGCAGTCTTAATAGGAGAGCAGTCTGGTGATATTTAACTTGTTATCCTCAGTTTGGTACAGAAAAGAGAAGACTGTTGAAAGGAAGGAGCCCACAAAGCTCTCAAAAGTAGAGCTACTTTGGGACACACAAGTTGTTTCTCTTTTACTGTTTTTCTTCTGTTTCCTATCTTCCATCAGATCTTTTCCCCAGCACTGCTATAGATAATGGGATGATCCAAATTAGGACCATGAGATTATGGGTTAAAGGAATTAAGTCATTAAGTCTTAATTCAGATTGGGGCTTCATTGCTTGATCGTTGCCATGAAAACTAGTTTTAGAATTAAAGGCGGGGTGGATTTTGTTTTTTGTTTTGTTTTGTTTTTGTTTTTGTTTTTGTGAGAGCCAGTGATAGCTGTGGGAAAGATATAAATCAGGACAGTGAAGAATGCATAGGATTATCTCCTGTTCAAGAAATGGCCAGGTTATCTGCAAAAAAATGGAAAAAGGATTCCAAAGCCATCCTATTCTTTGATACTTTGAAGTATATATAGGTAGTCCTTAATTTATGACTAGTCACTTAGCGATCAGTCGAAGTTATAAAACACCTGCCCACCCAAAAAAGTATGTACAACCAGTTTGTAAAGTTCTGAGGCTGCCCTCCCCCCAAGATCATTTGACTGCATTTTGGGCACATAGCCAAAACGGTGGCTGTTTGCAGCATTTGGCAGTCAAATGGCCACAATTTATATTTTTGCAAGAAATTGGTCTTTATTTCTGGTTTCCCACAAAAATCATAATGAATAATGGGTTCGCTTAACAACTGCCATAGAAAAGTTCATAAAAATGGGTCTGGTCATGTGGTTACCTGCTTTATGACTGTTACAATTTAGTGACTGTAATTGCCAGACTCAGTTACAGATGTAAGTCGAGGCCTATTTGTATGTGCATTGATGGTGTTGTAAAAATTCTAGTATAATATAAAATATAGTGTGTGTATATATATATATATATATATATATATATATATATATATATATATACACACACTAGTAATAATAATATAATACAATATAAAGCAACAGATAAGAAGCCATTTCTTTAATTCTTTGTGTAAAGCCTGTTAACACCAGATGCCCCCCTATTATTTTCTTAGCATGATGAATGCAATAAAGCAAGAACTAGCTACGGCAAAACCAGTCATTACTGACCTACTGAACACCTACTCGGATGATGAATATATTAGGAAAATTCAGAAACGTCTTGAGGAGGATACCTTTGCTCGAGAACAACGGGAGAAGAGAAGGAGAAAGATGTTAAGGGAGCAACTCATAGCTCATGAAACACAAGAAGTGAGTTAGATACGCTGCCTTCTGATTTTTTTAGATGAGGCATTGATACTGTTGTGAATTAACCAGTTTGAAAAGACATGAAAAGTAAAAGCTATTATGAAACCTGTTTGGAGATTGAAGTAAATTGTATCTTTACTAGTGAAAATAATCAGCACATTTTTTGATTTTTGGATCAGACTTTAATGTTAAGCATAGTGGTAGATTTTTAAAAACTAGCATAATATGAAAAGTATAAAGTCTGGAACTGTAAAAAAAACTAAAAATGAAAGACAGGTCAAATTCTTCAAATTTAAAAATAAAGCATCTTGATAGGTGAAACCCTGGTTTTATGAGTGCATCAGGACTGTTGAGACTAAGAATTGCTGATGGCCAATCATCCATTTTTACTAGTACCTTTAGCAATATATTTATGTATGCATGTATTTATTTAATTGTTGAATTTATATTGGCGCCTATTTGCACATGGCGACTCAAGGCAGTTTACAGAATATAAAGCTCCATTGAATTGCACCCAGAAGCAAATCAGCAGCCAATGCAGCTCCCACAGGACAGGTGATACATGTGCACACCGAGGTCTGCACAAAACCATGTGGGCCGAATGGTCCTTTATCCACAAGCCTTTGAAATAAACTGAAGCTAATTAACGCCACAAGAGGGCAATTGATGATTCTATGCCACTTGTTTCATGTTTACCTGAAAATAAATTCCTTTCAGTTGAATTGAGTTTATTCCCAAAAGATCACTTGAACTGATACGGCTGAGAGAAAACGACCAACCAGCAGGCTTTGTGCCTGAAGTGGGACTACACTTAAGATCTCTCAGTTTCTAGCAAAAGCTGTACATTACATCGCTATTATTGGTTTCTTTATTATTTTAGGAGGCCTATAGAGAAGAGCAGCTTATCAACCGACTTATGAGACAGTCCCAGCAAGAGCGGAGAATAGCTGTTCAACTTATGCATGTGAGGCATGAGAAAGAAGTCCTGTGGCAAAACAGAATTTACAGAGAAAAGCAGTTTGAGGAAAGACGCCTCAAAGAATTTCAAGAAGCTCTTGATAGGGAGGAGGTAGATATTCATTATTGTCATTTTTGTTACTGTATTTTTCTCTTTTGCATTTCCTTCCCTAAATGTCTATGGAGATTCTCAGTCATCCAGGTCATGGTTCTCCCAAAGGTGCTTTTTCAAGAGGTAACTAGACTTCCTGGTTTTTCTTTGAAGACGTTTTGCTTCTCATCCAAGAAGCTTCTTTAGAAAAGACATTTACCTCCCTAAGTGGCAAAACCATCAGAGAATGTGATTATGTGACCATGGGACATTGCAAATGGCTATATATGTGGCCATGTTGCCAAGTACCCAAAGTTCAGTCATGTGACGATGGGCAGGCAACCATCAGAACTTCAAAGGGTCTATAAAAACTTCAAACAGTTATAAGTTGAGGTCTTCCTCTAAACCCCAACAGTTTTATTTTTTGATTTTTAAATCTCTCTAGCATGCATTGACTTCTCTTGAAGAAATGCGGGGTCCATTATTGGTCAACAGCCTCAAGAAACACATCATTGGGGGTGGGGGGAAGGGAGAAGCAAACTTATTGCTTTTTAAGTTCAGTCAAGTTTATTCCCAGGAGCTGAAACTCAGCATCAGACTTTCAATATTCCTGTGTCTATATTAATACTACTGAACCTGGGCTGCAAAAATAGCCCAAGGAATGAAGTATAAGTAGTATGAGAAGATTGCTAGACAGTGTCTGTGAAATTATTCTTCCATTCTTCTGGAAAAAGTTAGCTTTTTCATCCTTCAAAAGAGGTTGAAAAATTTGATCAACAGTGTTCACCAAAGATTCAGTTCCACATGCAGGTAGTCCTTGACTTATGACTACAATTGAGCCCAAAATTTCTGTTGTTGAGTGAGACATTTGTTAAGTGAACTTTGCCCCATGACCTTTCTTGCCACAGTTGTTAAGTGAATCACTGCAGTCAATAAGTTAGTAACATGGTTGTTAAGTGAATCTGGCTTCTCCATTCACTTTGTCAGAAAAAGCTGATCACATGGCCCAGGACGTCATAAATATGAACTAAGTTAATAACAAGGTTGTTAAGTGAATCTGGCTTCACTTAATTGATTTTGCTTGTCAAAAGGTTGCAAATGATGATCACATGACCTTGGGACACAGTAACCATCATAAGTATGCCAAGCATTGGAATTTTGATCACATGTTCATGGGGCTGCTACAAAGGTCGTAACTGAAAAATCATAAGCCACTTTTTTCAGTGCCATTTTAATTTTGAACAGTCGCTAAATGAACTGTTGTAAGTCGAGGACTACCTGTATGTAGTTGTAATACAGTGCAATCCCGTATAAATGGTCCTTTTGAAGCCACCAGAACTTTATTTTGAAATGATAGGAATATCCACTAGAGGCCACAATTCTCTTGTGTGCCAGAGAGCTTATAGGAAGCTATAGAATCAGAAGGTTGTGTCTTCATTTAGGTTCTTACATTTATTGTATATTTAAGGAGCTCAAATCAAAGAATTAACAGAATAACAGTCGACTGATCATCATGTTCTTCTGCCACCTGATATAGTTAGCAGAATTCTAACTTTAGTAACAATGGAATAAATGGGTTAACACACTGGTTGAACAATGTGTTTTGTGAAAGGGAGATGATTAGTGGACGAAAGTCCAGTCCGAGAACATTTTGAGGCTTGCCTGGTCCAGTCCTTTCAGAGAATGAAAATAGTTCATACCTTGCTTTGCGCAGACACATTGGTTTGCAAGATACAAATTTGATGGTATGTCCCTCTTCTCCAGATTCTTCTTGTATGTTCATGTAGATCTGATGGACTGCACTGATTGCTTTCCTTGCTGTTACAAAACAGAACCAGTAGTGCCTGGCAGGTTTCTTAAAGAGATCTACTGCTGGGGATCTGTCTTGCATCATACTTAGCTATTAAATAAGCAAAATAAATGCTTATAGTTGGTATCCATGGCAGGTGTGGGTTGAGCGGCAAATGAAAAAATGGATATGCAATGTATTCTCAACGCCCTTTTTATGTGCACCATGATGTTCCACACATATGTATAAGGAGCAAAGCTTATGTTGCAACCTTTGTTTTGACCATGATATCATCAGATTCTGAAGATGTTCCAATGCTTAATCAAATGCTACAGGTGTTCAGGTGGATATTAAATCAGTATCAGTGTTTAATTTGGAGATGATATAATCTATTTCTGAAACAATATCTTTTGCTACAGCTGTGTAGTGCTTTAATTCTAATTCCAAAAAGACAGTGGGGCACAAACATAGTATGTGTTCGCCTTCTTTAAAACACTGATATCCTTTCCCAGAGTCCTTTTTCAACTTTCGCATGATCCTAAGAAAAAATATTGCTCTAAAATCCTTGACTTCTCAAGATGACATTCCTTCACAAGACCATTTATATAAGAATTTATTTATCTGGACTATTAATAATGACCGCAAAGTTTAGATAATGAGCTTTGATGCTACATTTCACTTCTTGTCTTATCAATTTGAGGAAATTGACCAGTTTTTTCCCCATCTCCTTTTAGGCTCTTGCAAAACAAGAAAAAATTGAACTTGCAGAACAGGCCCTTAGAGAAAAACAACTGCATGCAAAACTTGCTGCTGAAAGAGCTGAGGCTCGCTATAAGAAGCATTACGAAATTTGCTGGGAGGTGGTTGAACAAATCATTGATTTAGCAACTAAAATAGGAGAATATAGAACACTGACAAATAAGTAAGTCCCTAATATATACAATTTTGTTTTTTGTTTGTTTTGGTTTTGTATTCCCTTTTGGCTATGTTGGGAAAGTGAGCAATACAGAAATATACAGAAATTGATCCTCAGGCATCTAGATGAGAAAACAGCAATGAAGCCCGAGTAAAATTTGCCTTGAGAACTCAATATATAGGAAGAAATTGCTGAGATCTGTTGAGGTGTCCTCTACAACCCGCCCAGTATGAGCTCACCATGTGGAATTTAAGAAAAACCAATTTCAGATGAATCCACTAGTTATAAAATGTCTTTTTGTCCTGGCATCAAGGTGGCATCCTCCTTGGTTTAATTTTATTTCATCACCTTGTAAAAATCTAGTGATTGATCTATCCTTTGGGGCGAGGGAAAGCAGTCGTGCCTCATAGTTTTCCTTAAGTTGTTTCTGTTGATATTACTTATTAAAATCCATTCTAATGGAATGCTGTCAACTGAGTTATAAACATTTAATTAAACAAGCTATAGGAAAATTAAAGAATGAACTCTAACTTGAGTTTCCTTTGGTTGATACCCATTAGAGTGGTGAACTCCATTTCTCAGCATTTCCTGCCACCAAAATGGGTATTGTGTGTTTACATAACCTGCAGCTCCATATAAGTTTCATAACTTAAAGCAATGCTTCTCAGTCTTGGTCACTTGCAGATATTGCAGATATGTGGAACTTTGGCTGCTTGAAGAAGCATGCTGGGTGGGGACTTCTGAGATATCTTCAAGTGGCCAAGATAGAGAAACACTGCCTTAAAAATATCTACTATACAGATCTGTTCAAAATATTTTTGTGCTACCTATCAGTTTGAAAAGTTGAGAATGAGGTATTTTTAACTTATGCAATTAATGCTCAGAATAACATTAGTAAAATATAAACAATACCAGATAAAGAACATTTAGTTGTATAGTTGTTTTTCTGATAAGACTATTGTGTGTGTGTATATATATATATACACGTATACCTATCTACTGTTAGATATGTTATGCTGAGATATACTCAACAGATTAATGCCTTATTTCAAATAATTACAAATTATATTTTCTTAGTAAAATAAAAATAGTTTCAGATAAGACCGTCTGTTTGTTTTTTTTTTTTATCATTTTACTGATCAAATATTTCTGGTGAAATTCCCCCCATACACATATTCAGAATAGTGTCCCTTACATATAAAAAAAATAATTTACTTAAGTGAAAAATATTAAGATTAAACCTTGACAGATAGTATCCATGTCCATTTTAAAATGAAATCTCAGATCAGTTTGACTAATTGAGCTTAACTTGGATTGATCCAAATTTAGCAGTTGCTTCTTTTTGACACAACAAAAGTGGAAATATTCCTAGCCCGGGGCGGGGGGGGGGGGAATGAGAGGATGGATAAACACACACAATCGCGAGGTATCTCTTGCCTCTTCATTTTGCTTAGCATATTTATCTGGAAGAATGATGCCCTGAATTTCAGATTATCCTCCCTCCAGATAGAGTAGACTGATGCATCTTGTCCCTCTAAAGGCAAATATCTTGTGCAATATCCAGATTCCTGACTTATCAACTCAGCTGAAATCAGGTTTAGAGATTTTTTCCCCAGCCAAATATATGCAAGGTTCTTTCTCTATATACGAACGTGTAGGTAGGTATGTTATATATCTGCCAAGCCATGTTCCTAAACAGAGCCATGGTGGTGCAGCAGTTAGAGTGCAGTATTACAGCCTGATTCTGCCCACTGCCAGCAGTTGATCCTGACTAGCTCAAGGTTGACTCAGCCTTTCATCCTTCTAAAATGAGGACCCAAATTGTTGGTGGCAATATGCTGACCCTGTAAACTGCTTAGAGAGGGCTGTAAAGCACTATGAAGTGGTATATAAGTCTAAGTGCTATTGCTATTTCTAAACAGGAACAGAATAAAAAAAATAACAATTAATGATTGTTTAGATTAACATTAATTACCTATAAAAGAAAGAATCACAGTTACAAATTGTATCCATGTTTACATTTAGCAACCATTCTCATATACACAATAGCAATAGCTTATACTTAGATTTATAAGCTCCATGGTGCTTTACAGCACTCTCTGGGTGGTTTACAATGTCAACATATTGCACTCAATAATCTGGCTCCTCATTTTATTGACCTTCGGAAGGATGGAAGACTGAGTCAAACTCAAGTCCTGTCAGGATCAAACTCCAGGCTGTGGGCACAATTTGCCTGTAATACTGCATTCTAACTACTGCATCACCAGGCTATTAACTATTACTAACCACAAGCAACTTTCAGGCACAATGCAAATCAGTTTACAGAAATACTGATACATACATCATTCTTTTCAGCAATAGCAAGAAAGAATAAAAAGGGGGTATGAAAGAGAAGCAAAACTGAATTGAGATTCAGGTGAGGAAGAGAGGAAAGAAAAGAGAAAAAATCTTGTTTATACACTGTAAAAAGCATTAGAATTCACTAGGCAATCTGTCTTTCCCATAAAAGATATCATATGTTTTAGCAATGATTATTTGCAATCACTTCAATTTCCTGCCCATTTGTTTGTTTACAATAGTTTGAATATAAAATAATATCCCAAAACCCAGGTATACAGCAACTCCCAAGTCAATTGGGGTAAAAACTAATCTTCCTAATGTGTAATTGAGCCATTTTGTCTGAATAGAATTTATCTGACAAAATTCATTATTTCTTCCTCTTTTCAAGTTATTTTTTGTGTTCCATATTTCATTTAACCATTGATTACTTTCGTTGATTAAAAGCATGTTCCCTTTGTACTAAATAGTTTTGTTTTTCTTGATTTCCACAGTTTAATTCCTGCAAAGCTAATGCGTGACTGGAAGGAACTCTTCTTAAAAGGAAAGCCAATTTATGAACAAGCTGACATCAGCGATTTGCCAGATGAGCCAACTCCAGAACAATTAGTAGAACTGGACAAAATTAATTTGCTAGATGAGAAAGATTATGATGAATATAAGGTACTCCCAACTGATACGGCCTAGTGGAAGAATATATAGCTCATAAAATCATTGTTCATGAACATCACATTTGTTTTGTGATTGATGCATAGGTTTCATATTAGCATAATAAGCATTTTGGCAGAATTAAATGTACTTTATACTCCGTTTTTCTAGGATTTGGCAATGCATTGATTTACTGCCCCTCTGGGTGTTTATCTGTCACAGTCCATTCCATTGCCCCTCATAAGCAATAACAATAACATGCAAGAGCTCCGAGGTTGTGATATTTTAACTTAAGTAGAAATTAAGTTGTAGTACATTACAGTGTGCTAGAAAATGCAAAGTAATACACAAAGCCTGATGTGAAATAAACACTGTCTGTCACTGAATGAGTAGTCTTCTTTCATTGGTATTTTCTAGTACAATTCTTGTTATTTTAAGATAAGTTCATTTCAGTATCTTTAGTTTTATAATAGGCAGTTCTCAGAATTAGTTATCATTATCTCTTTTTAGGTATCTTTGAAGAGGTAAGTATGTATTTAAATATAAATTCCTTCTCTCCCATTCCATTTTCAAAAGCAGACATGATTAAATAATTGAATTCTGAATATTTGCCTTTTTTTATTTCCTTTTATGCCTTATTTTCAGATTCCTCTATTTTCAGCTCAACTGCACGGAGAAAAAAGTATATTATTATTATTTAGCTTGGATTTGGATTTTTTTTTTCTATCAGCTTGTTTGAACTATCTTCATAAATAGCCTGTATGTTTATTTTTTATCTTGTTTGGGAAACCACATTTATATGTTCTTTTTGTACCCACATCCTGAACACAATTGGTACATTTTATTTTCATCAAGTTGTAAGCCTTAGAGTCTGTGCGGTCTTTTTGAATTAACACAAAACAATATAACTTCTTTCTTATTTCAGAAAGTGAAGGTTATTTCTTTGTTCATAGTACAGATTATATATTTTTTAAAAATATGCCATATTTTGTTCATTTAATGCAAACATCGGAGTTACAGTGATAAATTTCCAAGATGCTTCTGCGTTAATCTATTAGGATTATATTGCTCCAGTGAAATGAATAGGTATATTATACCTTTTCTCTTCAGAGTGATCTGTATATTATCAGTGTCTTAGAGTTGCTGGTTTCCTTCTATTAAAAAGTCTGAAGTTATCACCAGCATACCAATCATCTAAGCAGGAACCACATTAGTGCTGCCTGTATCAGAAAGATGCAGCAAAAAAAAAAAAATGAATTCATAGTAACATGGGTGCAGAAGGCACAGGAGCATGCCTTGTGAAAGTTGCAGCAGCATCAACTTATTTTTTTATTTTTATTTATTTTTTTATTTGATTTGATTTTTATACTGCCCTTCTCCAGCAGGCCTCAGGGCGGTGAACAGCCAAGGTAAAAACATAGCATACAAAATTTAAAACAATTTAAAAAGATATTAAATAGTTTTGGCCCACAATTTAAAAACTACAAGTAGTCCTTGACTTAACGACCACAATTGATTGCAAAGTTTATGTTGCTAAGTGAAACATTTGTTAAGTGAGTTTTGCCCCATTTATGACTTTTATTTATTTATTTATTTGTTTGTTTCAATTTCTATACTGCCCTTCTCCAATTAGGACTCAGGGCGGTGAACAGCCAAAGTAAAAAACAGGACATACAAAATTTAAAAACAGTTTAAAATAATTAAATATTTTGGCCGTAAATTAAAAAAACCCAATTTAAAATCAATTTAAAATTTAACTCAACTTTAACTTTTCTTGCTACTCTTAAGTGAATCATAGAAATTGTTAAGTTAGTAACACAGTTGTTAAGTGAGTCTGGCTTCCCCATTGACTTTGCTTGTCAGAAGGTCACAAAGGCTGATCACATGACCCAGGACACTGCAACAGTCATAAATATGAAGTAGTTACCAAGCATCTGAATTTTGATCATGTGACCATGGGGAGGCTGCAACAGTCATAAATGTGCAAAACGGTTATAAGTCACTTTTTTCAGTGCTGTTGTAACTTTGAACGGTCACTAAATGAACAGTTGTAAGTCAAGGACTACCTGTGGTAACATATTCATCAAGTCTTTATATGTAGTGTATTTATACAGAAAGAGAAACGGGTCTGGATAGATAGCTTCTAAATTTCAAAACATTATTTGAAAGTGCTTGAATTATTTTTCTCAATGTAGCTCTGTAGTAGGACTATCTTACCTAGCTGCAAGAACCCAGGTGGCCACTAGATGACTGCACAGAATTATTGAAAATCCTGACTTTGCTTCTATTGGTCTAGATAACTGCAGCCCTACTTATAATCCATTTTTTGATAAGGATATAAGTGCCTGATTAAATAATCATAGGCAATAAGTGGATTGGTTTCCAACAGAAGCTTGGCTTGTACGTATGCTGGACAGTTAATGTGGAACAGCTTCTTCCTATGAATGTATTAATGCTTTGACTAGACAAAAAATAATTGTGATTACTATGTGTAGTAATGATTATATCATGGTCAACTGCCCCAGTTATTTCTTGTATCAACCGTTTTTAAAAACATTCTCAGCCTAGAGGTTTCTGTGTTTGTTCAGGCCTGTAAGATTCTTCGTGTTTATTTAGCATTTTATCAATCCATAGTATTCCATAAAGGAAAGGGGGGAATTAATATAGTTGCAAATGTAAGGACATTGTGCTTGTTTATTTGCAAATTTATTAAAATGCACTTGGGGAAGAAAAAGAGGGAAGACATAAAAAAGGCATACCCCAAATTACAAAATTGGCTGTAATTTGATCATATAATCTTCAAACTTGGCAGTGCAAATGTTAACTACCATGGTTGAGGAAGGTTGGAGAGAAAAGCATGCTTTTTTGTGTGTAGGAAGATCCAAATTAAATTTCTGGTATCTTTCAATAGAGCTCAGAAAATTCCCTATCTCAACTTCCCATAGAATCATTGTCAATATCATTTCTATATAGATGAACTAATGATCTGCACTGATGTAAGACAACTTCATATTCAGTATTTCTTTTCTCTGTAGCATTGTAGAGAATTCATTTAAGCACAAAAATAGAACTAAAATAAAAATGTGGTTTTGTGCAATTTGTAATCTTGATGCCACAGACTACTTGCTTGGACGTGTAATCTGGAAGAGTCAGAGCTTCCTTCTAAAGCCAAAGTAATGGCAAAAACTGAAGAGAGATGAGGCTGTGTAAAAGTGCAAAGCAAGCAATCTTTGCATCGATAATCAGTTATATATTTTGCAAAGCTGATGTGGCTGCTTCACAAGCTGTTCCTAATGTCTTTACATACTTTGCAAAATGACTGCACAAGCTTTGCACAAGCCTTGCAACTGCTTTAGTTGGTCAAAGTGGCATGCTTTGTTTGTGCTCTTGCACATTCTTGAAGTACCTCAAACGTGCTTTTTCAGGAGGCAACTGGACTTTTTTTTTCTTTGAAGACGTTTCGCTTCTCATCCAAGAAGCTTCATCAGCTCTGACAGGATAGTGGGGAATGGAAGAATTTATACTCCTTGCAGACAGCTGGTCATTTGCATTCTTTTAGAGAGTCATTGAGGCCACTTGGAGGTTTATCTGTGTCCTCAAGTCACCTGAGTAGTGCAAATGGGTGTGGAGCCTTCTTGGCTGCAGGATGTTTTCTGCTCTGTGTCCCTTCACTGTTGAAGACAGGCACAGGCTGTTGGGGATGAGTATGTGTTGCCTGCATCTCAAACTGGAGTGCAAATGGTTCCTGTAGTCTGCAGTTTTTCTGGAAATCTATTCGTACTCTCACACTATTGGAAGGGTATTCATCCCAAAGTGCATAGCTAAAAGTCTGTGGAGATTCTCAGTCATCCAGGTCATGATAGCAATGGCAATAGCACTTATATACCGCTTTACAGTGCTTTACAGCCCTCTCTAAGCGGTTTACAAAGTCAGCATATTGCCCCCAACAATTTGGGTCCTCATCCTCAGAAGGACGGAAGGCTGAGTCAATCTTGAGCCTGGTGAGATTTGAACTGCCAAATTGCAGGCAGCTGGCAGTCAGCAGAAGTAGCCTGCAGTACTATACTCTAACCACTGCACCACTGTGGCTCATTGTCCCAAAGGGCAACCTTTTTGCAGTTTTTTAGGGGGAAACTGGACTTCCTTGTTTTTTCTTTGAAGACTTTTGGATGAGAAGCAAAACATCTTCAAAGAAAAATCTAGGAAGTCCAGTTGCCTCCTGAGAAAACACCTTTGGGACAACCATGACCTGGGTGACTGAGAATCTCCATAGACTCTCGAAGCACCAATTTCAAATGCTTTTCTGAGCCCTAAAAAGTGCTTACAGATAGTCCTCAATTTACAAGCGTTCATTTAGTGATCATTTGAAGTTACTGGAAAAAAGTGACTTATGATTTTTCACATGACCATTGCAGCATTCCTGTGGTCACATAATAAAAAATTCAGGTGCTTGGCAACTGATTCGTATTCATGACGGTTGCAGTGTCCCAGGGTCATGTAATCACTTTTTTCAACTTCCTGATGAGCAAAATCAATCGGGAACCCAGCTTCACTTAACAACCACATTACTCATTTAACAACTGCAGCGATGCAATTAACAACTGTGGTAAGAAAGGTTAGGGTTAGACACCTTTGCATACAATTCAGAAGAGACAATGAAAAGCTAAGAAGGAAGCAAAAAGTCCAGAACACATTCTCTACGGCAACCAACACCCAGATCAGCAGGAATTAATACCATACACACAATCAATCAAAAAACACCCTAATCAAGGAACTACCAAGAAAAAGTCATATCCTCTTCAATACAGGCAGACAAGCTACTGTTTAAAACAGGGAGCAAACCCCACACTCACTAGCAATTATGATGTTACCTAATTGGATAATGAAATATATGCAAGCAAACCACCAGACTCAGAGAGCATCAAGGACTTCACAATGACTGGAATGTCATGACCTTCTGTTTTCAAAGTGGTTTTTACCTTGAGATGTTTTTGCCTTTTTGGTTGCTGTTTTCAGTTTATTAGGCTATCTGAGGATATCTCAGATCAGGCTATCTGAGTTAATAATAAATAATAAGTTGGGTTCCAGCTAAGGTGTTTATTGACATTCTCAGCAAAATGTAGTCAATTGATTTTCATGGCAATTTAGTGCATTAGACTTAATTTCAATCCAGTCTATGGATTCATCACCTGTAGAAATGATCCTGAAGAATCTCCTATAGTTTTTCTTCAGTAAATCCTACAGAAAACAACTTAGAAAATATAGTTCCAAACATCAATGGGCTACTGTTTCTTCATCCAGCAGACTTCTTGCTTATTTTCCAGCTGCCTGCATGCAATTACTTGTAATAACTTACATGCAATTTTTTAGTCATCTCTATTTACAG